AAGAGAACAAGAACTGTAGTTTAACTTTTGAAAGCATACTAATGTGATAAGAAACAAGAAAACTTTAAATAACTGGTTGTACATTATAGTCTACTTTTAGGTATCTTCAGAATGTAAATTCATAAAAATAATAAGGAAATAGAATAGAAGGAAGCTTACAGGCCAGCAGATACAACAAGTGTTACAGCCACTTTGAACATTTTTGGAGAGAGAATCCCTTTGATATAGTAAACAAGAGCAACCACATGGATAACAATAAATACCTGCAGATGAAAGAAGACAACATTATGTCAGCAACAAAAGTACAATATTATAGCAAGTATTGCTTGTCATGTCATAAATACTTCACTAGGTATAAACTAACAGAATTTCTCATGTACACTACAGCAAGAAATAAAAATATTTCCCAAACGGCTTCACAAACGTGGCATAATAATCTATGACATGAACTATTGGACCAGCCAAAACATTTTGATTAGTCTTTTATAGCTTCACACATCTAATCTAAGGTATGTTGGAGGAGAAGAGCTACAAACGGCTCAAACAATAATAAGAAAAACCACATAAGAGCCAGTTATCAATTAAGCAATAAATTAGATGGGAGGAGGGGGGGAATTTACCAAAAATGATGCAAAATGTTCTGATGTCATGACTGCATTAAATCCAACAATAGGCACCAATGCAGCTAAGACTGTTCCCAAGACAACCTGCAAGGAAAAAGTTACAGTTCAGCTGAAATCAGGAAATTTTATGTAAAATATTTAGAAAAAGTTATGCCCTAGAACCAGCATATGGAAGAATTTAAGAAGTAATTTGTTAAATCATTCTAAGAGCTAACAGTTAGCGCAGAAAATAAAAAAGGATACAATATGATGGACTCACTTCTGATGTGTGCTAAGAATAAAAGTTTCTGCATGCAACCTTCAATATTACATGGATTCTAACTGCATGACCGCTGCAGGTACTTACAAGAGGAGCATATGCAATGTACAACCGAGGACAATAACGACCGGTTACAATGCAGAGAAGCACATGCATAGGAATAAGATTAATAATGAAGGTGTAACCTCCCCAAGAGCAAACCTGAAATAGATACAATGAACTGAGGAACATAAATATACCAAATAGAAGTAAGAATAGACAGATATTAGGAATAACAGCATACCATATAGAAGTACGATAGTGCATTCAAGGTGGCATAAAAGAGCGATCCCATGTTCAGTGTCTGCAAATGATATAATAATTTTTTTAGATCCTAACAAATAATATATAATTGAAATAAGGGAAAAGGAAACTATGAAAACAGATAAAGATAGTGAGTCCCCTACAGAGGTAGATTATGTGTCAAAAAAACAACAGACCACTGAAAAAAGCTGACCTTTATGTAAAGATAAAAAGTGAAGATCAAAGCAAATATTGCTACAGCTTCATTGTCATAGCTACCAGCCACAGATCGTGATATATATGATGGAACCTAAAAATAAAACGAAAAAACAGAATTAATCTATTTATTGACAGCAAAAATGAAAATAAAAGAAGCATATTTTATGTGTTAAAGCTGCAAACAAAACTGGAAAAATATTCTGCTGCTGCTGTTCAAAGCTGAATATAAATTCATTATAATGAATGTCTAGAAATGGTACAGAATAATGCTTATATATTTACCATGGCAAGAAGGGCGGCAGCTGTCAGTCCAGCACCAGATCCCTTTACTTCCTATAAAAGCAGCAACTTGACATCAGTAACAAATAAACGGTTAACCAGCAACATGACAGCAAATAAGAGGTTAGACAGAGAATATGAACCTTAGTTAGAAGATAAGTTGCCCATGATGCAAAAGCAGAAAATATAGGTGCAGTGAACACACAAACAGTCTCCACAGAAAGAGGAATATTCAGAGAATTCAAGAACCTGACAAGAGAGTGTAAAGGCTTTAATTGGCAACTTTGGATCAAATCATACTGACTACTTCAAACGTTATGTATACCTACCACCATATGGTGCCTGCTGTCAAGGTTAACCCAGGGTACACAGTTCCACCAATCACACGACCTAGGGGATACCTTGAGTATGGCAAAACAAGCAAGTTCCACTTAGAATTCTAAACTAACAACCTAACAAGGTAAAGATGATAACATATCAGGAAATAAAACAATACCAGGTTCGATCATCAAACCAATTCCAAAATTCATATATCCCATTCTTCGATAGAAACTGAAACCAACAAAGAAGCACATCGTGTCATCACCAAGCAAGGATCATATGAAAAGCTTTAAGCACCTAAAAGCAACATTATCCTAATAATTTTCTGTGTACCCATGTAGAAATTAAGAGTAACTAAAAGTTATCTAAAGTGAAGGAGAAGGGCCGACCTGAGTGACTCTGTAGTTGAAATAAGGATCGAATTCATGAATAACACTCTCGTACTTTATAACCTGAAAATCAGTCCAAACAATGTAAGACAGCCGCCAGTATAACAACTCCAAGTACAACCAATTTCAATTCAAAAGGAACAAATAAAGAAACTGCTTCATTTATTCTATAATGTAGTAAAACCAGAGAAGAGAAAGGAAACATTTCGAGTTTTTCATTTCCAAAAACATAAAAACTATCTTTTCATAATCGTGTCCTCAAATTCTATGCTCAGCAAAAGAAAGGAAGATTTGTTCGACAAGCATTAAGCAGAAAATTCAAAACTTGAGCATGAACAACATTCCATTAACAACTAATCGGCGGGTGAAATTTGCATTATACTTCACAGATTGGATCCAGAGCATTCAGTGAGGGCATGAAATCAAGGATCTTACAGAGAAGAGGCGGATCGAGAAAGCAAGAACTCCAATCAGAAGGAGAATGAAGAAGGAGAGAACGTTGCCAAAAGCGTGTCGCAAGGTGTTATTGACTGCTGTAGTCGCCGTCGAGCTCTCCGGGGCCGCCATTGACGGCCAATTGATGGTCCAATTCAGGGAGTGTAGCCTGTGATACTGAGTAGACTGAGGAACAGAAGTCTTTGGTGGAAGTTTGGAATTGGAAGACGCAGTGGAAGTCATGCGGCAACCACGATTTTTTCTTTTTTTTGGTAAATAGGCAACTACGATTAATACAAGTGAAATGACGATAACGGGTCGGTATATTCACTATTCAGTAAAGGTTAAATCCCCAATTTGCTCCCTGAATAATTGTACGGACCCACGATTTGGTCCCTAAACTAAAAAAATCCCTGATTTGGTCCCTGAACTAATAAAATCCCTGATTTAGTCCCTAAACTATTGTACAGACCCCAATTTAATCCTAAACTATTGTAGGATCCTGATTTAACCCCTAAACTATTGTACAAACTTTCAATTTAGTCCCTATTATTTACTAATTTACCCTAAATTGGTCATTTTATACAAAAATCAACTGATATATCTTATTATTAACGTGATATATTACTGTTAAATTACTAATTTTTGTCCTTAAATTATTGTTTTTTGTCGTTAAATAACAGATAAATCAGCTTTTTTTTGTACGAAATAACTAACTTGAGGTAAATTTGTAAACAATAGACCAAATCGGGGTCCATACATTAATTTAAGGATCAAATCAGAGATTTTTTTAATTTAGAGATCAAATCAAAATCTATACAATAGTTTAGGGACCAAATTGGGAGTTTAACCTTAAGTAAATAACGAGAATGTCCGCTTTGTTAGAACCTGTGGAGAAAGATAATCACTCACGGCAGGTGCCCCCGGCAGCCGGCTCTGCGATTGGTCACGTGCTGCATAGCTCGCCACATTTTTCTCACGTGATAACAAAATAGTCGGGACTATAAGAGCAATTTACCATAAAAATTCAGTCCAGCAAGCCAAAACCTGCAATGTTCTGCGCGCGCGCATGCGTTCATTTTATCTCTTGCTTCGCTTTCCCGAAACCCAAACACCCAAATTCTTTCCCAGCGTTCTTCACCACCTCCATCACTGTCTCCCTTCTAGTGCCATACCGTTCGGCTTCGATACCCAGCCCGAATCAAACCCAATTCCCGCCGATTCAAAACAAGACCCGGCAAAAATCCCAAATCAACTATCGAGTTGCACAAACTTACTGCAATTGAATCAGATTCATGCTCATATTATCGCCACCGGATTTCTGGGATTGAACCCTTCGGCTTTTCACTGGAACAACATAATTCGAGCATACACTAGGCTGGATGCGCCCTTTAAGGCATTTTGTGTCTTCGTTGCCATGTCTAGGGCCGGGGTTATCTCCGACTCTTACACCATACCCATTGTCTTAAAAGCTGCGTGCCAGGTTTTTTCTATCAGCATGGGAAGGCAAATTCAGTCGGTTGCTACAAAGCTTGGCCTTGAGACTAACGAGTTCTGTGAGAGCGGTTTTATTAATTTGTACTGTAAGGCTGGAGAATTTGGGAATGCACGCAAGTTGTTTGACGTAAATCCTGAGAGAAAGTTGGGTTCTTGGAATGCTATCATAGCGGGCCTTTCTCATGGGGGGTTTGTCGAAGAAGCGTTATACATGTTTATGGAGCTGAGAAAATGTGGGTTTGTTCCAGATGATGTGACCATGGTTAGTGTGACGTCGGCTTGTGGGAGTTTAGGGGATTTAGAGTTAGCCCTTCAGTTGCACAAGTATGTTTTTCAAGCAAAAAGCATGCAAAAGTCTGATATTTTGATGCTGAACTCCCTCATAGACATGTATGGGAAATGTGGCCGGATGGATTTAGCTTATAGAGTGTTCTCAAAGATGAATGCGAAGAATGTATCTTCTTGGACATCCATGATTGTGGGCTATGCAATGCATGGGCATGTAATTGAAGCACTTGAGTGCTTTCGTTGCATGAGAGAGGCTGGAGTGAGGCCTAACCATGTGACTTTTGTTGGAGTACTAAGTGCCTGCGTGCATGGTGGGAGGGTGCAAGATGGTAGGCATTTCTTTGACATGATGAAGAATGTTTATAGGATACAGCCCCAATTGCAGCATTATGGGTGCATGGCTGATTTGCTTGGTCGTTCTGGGTTGTTTGAGGAGGCTAGAAAAATGGTTGAGGAGATGCCATTGAAGCCAAATGTGGTGATATGGGGGTGTTTGCTGGGCGCATGTGAGAAACATGGGAATGTGAAGATGGGGGAATGGGTGGCCAAGCATTTACTAGAATTGGAACCTGGGAATGATGGGGTTTATGTTGTTTTGTCCAACATCTATGCTACTAGAGGTTTGTGGGCAGAGGTTGAGGAAATGAGAGGGTTCATGAAGCAGAATAAGCTCACCAAGACTCCTGGCTATAGCTTGGCAACAAGTTCAGACTGAAATCCAATAGATTTAATTTGTTTAACCTGTAATAATAATGGATTCATTTTGTTTAATTTGTTCGATTAAATTTTGAAATTTTATAATACCTTGATCAAGTATTTAATCTTACAAAGATTGGTTTCTTCACTTGCTTTTTATATATTTCTTCTTTGGTCGTTTGTTTAATAGTTACTTTCCAAAGGAAATATTGCTGTCAATCTGTCATATGGTGCATGTGCGTGTTCAGCTAATTTTTGAGGCTCAGCCTCTTCTTAGTATAATCAGGATCGAACACTTCTAAAGAAAGCTAGGAAAGGTGCTACTACTCAACATCCAGGGGTTGATCTACAATGCAGCAATCTAAAAGTAGTTTTTAATCACAGTGTTTCTCCCCTAACATGAAAACATGAGAAGTGTTTATGGAGGTTTTTATGCTTGATCAGAAATATCTACCTGCTTCTGAGTTTAGCGGTTGCTCTCAACCAACTACTATGGAGCCCTGATAGGTGTTGGCAGTGGTACACACCAGAGGCCAGGATCCCCCCCCGGTGTCAAATGGAATTATCATCTTCTTCTTTCTTTAGGTTTCTACTCATGTTTTGCAGTCTAGTTATATTATAGAACTCCCTCTGCCACCCTCAATCTCCACTGGTTTGCAGACTTGAAGTTTGTTTTTTAATTCACTTGCAGGTAGCTGACTCAGTTATGTTGTGGATTATGTGAAGCCTGTTGTCAACTCTACCTCATATCTGGTGAAGGATGTCTCAGAGGTCAAGCTTTATTTAAAACCCCTTAACAAGAATATAGGCCTCTTGTTTATTTTGGTGAGATCCTTACTTCCTCTTCCCCTCCAAGGCAACTTCAAAACTAGTCTCCAAGCTCTGCCACTTAATTTGTTTCCTCTTTTATAGTTTCAGTATGGTTACGTTAGTTTGATTATTTGATGTTTTAAAAAAACAAAGAAAATAATGTTTAGAAGCAAAGTCGTCAGTGTACTGAAAAAAGCCAATAAATCCTTTACATGATGACACACATGAGCTTGTAACTTCAGTGGTAATTTGCATGTTTTCCCAACTAGTGTTAGGTTAATACTCTCCTCATATATTACAGCAAAAAAAAAAAACTTTGTTATATATAAATATATATATAAATAATACTTATCTATCTTACTTTCTAAAGATTAAGAGAAATATTATTTCAAAATTACATTATTTTAATAAATACTTCTTGAAAAAAATTAAAATATCATATTTTTTAAATATAAATTAAAGTATTTTTTGTTATTTTTCTTTTTAATTTTTTAAAGGTAAGACAGATAAACACTAACTCTTATATATAAACTCCAGAATCAATTAACATTATTAATTAATCCGTCTTAGTAGAGCAGGCAGCAAAATCTACCAACTTCCTCCTAAATAATAGTGTCGAGTCCCTATCAGAAAAAATAAAAAAAAATAGTGTCGAGTCAAGAGTTTAAATCCCAACTTGTCCTTCCCCTCCCTGATCAACCAAAAATTAAGACTATCAAAAATACAAGAGGTCCAAGTCAAATACCCCAAAAAAAAATTAAATTTAAAAATTTGGAGTTTTTTAAATTTATAATTGATATTAGTATTTATTAGTTAAATCTTTAAAAAATTAAGTAAAAAAATACTTTAAAATTTATTTCAATAAAGATTATAAAAAAAGACTAAATACTCTCATTATCACTTTAAAAATATATTATTTCAATACTAACAACCTACGTAGTAGAATGATAATTTTTTTAATAGAAATAAGAGAGTTTGAATTTAAATATGACATACAAATAGTATAAGTTAAGAAATAGGAGAAAGTTATTTTTTATTATATAATTCAAAATTAAAAAAATGATTATATTAGTTTTTTCAATAAAAATTTATAAAAACAATATAATTTCAGGTATTTTTTATCTTTATTTTTTAGATTTTTAACTAACAAATAATTTTTTCTTTAAAATTTAAGTTTTTATTTGTCATTTTTTATATATTAAATGATAAATTATACAATATAAAATAACCTTGTCTTTCACTTAATCATTTCCCATTTATATCAAAATTCTAATTCAAAATCTTTAAGTTTTTATTTATTCGAGACACTGAAGCATTTCTAGATGGAAAAATATGCAAATAAAAATATCAATTTTATAATTTTTCATTTAAAATTGTTAACTTTCTTAAATTTTAAATAATAATGCCAATTTTTAAATTTTTTTATTTAAATACATCAACTTTTAACAATTTTTACTAAAAAATATTAATTTTTTATTTTTTATTTAATAATTAATTAAATGGATATATCAACGTGACAAACAAATTTTTAAATGCTATGTTTGGGAATGTGAGTTTGGTTGGACTCCAAATTCAAATACACTATTTATTTACACTAAATAAGAGTGTATTTGAATTTGTTTCAAATACATATATTTGAAATTGTGTATTTCAAATACTTTGCCTACCCCATGAATTC